TGGCCTTTTGGGGCCCCCCCCCCCCCCTGCCAGGGCAGCAGGGGGGAAGGCAGCCCCGAGCCCCCCCCCCCACCCAGACACACACATTGGCTTAGTAAATGACCCGCCTGAGCATTGCCAAAACCTAGCCACAACCGAGCATCACCGCAGAGAGAAGAAACAGGGCAAGTCCTTCCTCGCCTGCCCGAAGGCCACAAACAAAAGAGGAAGGAGCCGCAGAGCAGGGGAAGACCCGGAGCCCTCACCCACCCTGGGTGCGGCAGCGTGGCAGGGGGCCAGGCGCTCCGGGACAGGCAGTGCTGCAAAACAGCCTGCCCAGAAAGGATCCCCTTACTTTCTGCAACCAAACTCCCTCGCCGAGAGGAAAACAGGTGTGCAAATGAACGCACACGCACGTGCATCGCCAGGCCACCTTCCTTAGCGGCTCTGCACCCCCACGGACGGGCACACAGGCGGAGAAAACATCCCTCCATGCTTGCACTGGTGGTGACACATCCTGGGGACAGGGAGTCCCGGCACAGTGGTGCTGGAGCCAAGCCGGGACAGAGGGAACAATTGGAGCTTTTTTCCCCTCCCGCATGCTAATCCCGTCCCGAGAGGCATCTGCTGCCCGCCTGGGGTGGGTGACCTCCCGCGGCCACAGCTGGGGCAGAGGGACCCAGCCCAGCCTGGGGCTGTGGCTTGGCCCTGGCAGGGAGGGCAGCGGTGCTGGACTCTGCTCCCTTGGCACGGGACACTCTCGTCACTGGCACGGCCAGGGTGACCAGGCTGTGCGTGGTGCCCATGGATGTTAGCCAGAAACGCAAGGTGCCACTCTCCATCCTCCACCGACCCTGCTGTCCTGCTGGGCATCATTTGAGCTCATCCAAAAGTTTTTGGGGAGCTGTGGGGAGCAATCCTGCCGTGAGCCCCTTCCTGCACCCAAATTGAAATGCTGTGAGCCAAAACATCCCCCAAAATCACAGCCATGTGCAGCGGCACCGATGTCCATGTGGAGTGTGACAGTCCCCCCGCCACAGCCGCTCTGTGCCATGCCCTGTCATGGCCTGGCAAAGCCCGGAGCAGATTCCTGGGGGAGGCCAACTTTCCATTGCGCATGGCGCTTTGAAAGACAGTGGTGGGTTTTTTTTTTTTTTTACTTTGCTTTATTTGAAGTTGCTCTTCAAAGAGAATGAGCCGCACGCAGAGCTGGGGGTGGCGGGGACACACACACACACAAGCAGACAATGCGATGCCGCAGGGCTGAAGATGACAGAGGGGACACACGGGATGCTCCCCACTGAGCACAGAAAGCTGGGGTGCCTCCTAACCTCTCCCCAGGGTGGTCCAGGGCAGCATCGCTGCAACAGAGATGTGGCAAATAAAACCACCCAAGGGCACTTGGCAGCTCTGCCCACCGCGTGCTGGGCCCTGCCAGAGTCACTCACCTGCAAAAAGCCACTCTGCAATGGGCGATGCCTGACGCTGGCTGGATCTAACGCCCTAGAGATGGCATCACACTGTACCCCTGCCTCTCAGCTGGGGGAGCATCCCTGGCCCCGCCCCCCAGACACTCCTCTCTGCCAGTGCCCGCTGTGGGAAACACGTCCTGTGGCCAAGGGCGGTGGTGTTTTGAAG